CCCCTGGTTCACAAAATTTGAGTTCGAGAAATTTTTTTCATTATTTTACATTATAAGTACCCAAAGAAGCTATATATATAAAAAAACCAGATACAAATAGGTGTTTTGCGAAATTGAGAGCAATTTTAAATCTGTTCAGTTTTTTTTTATACACCCTGTATAATACCCTGATCAAACCACAGGAGGCCCAGGCTCGATTTGCCCGCGCCCGCCTGTGCCTTCCTTATAACGAGGGAAGGACGGAGACATTGAGACCAAAATAGCCCAGACTTGGCATATGTCACACGAAACTATCCTCGATTTTTCGCTTTTAATGCATTTCTTTCACGATTAATCGATATCCCCTTCAAGAATGATACCGTATAACTCTCAAAACAACGACGCTTTAATCAAAGAGCTTAAATTCGCTCCGTGAGGGAATAACAAAATTCGGCCAAAATATATCCGCGTGCCGGGTTTGCTGTGCAAAAAGCGGAAGTCGTTGAACAACTCAAAATACACTCAACCCTGATTGGACAACGAATATCAACAAACATTTCAATTTTTTTTAACAAACACAATGTGAAATACAATTTATTATACATATTAACGTACTACAGTTATATTTACATACAGTAATATTTATACTTTATAACGATTGTGAATAGTTTTGATTGTATGATTGAAATTATTACAGTACTGTTAAAAAATTTGAAATGTTTGTTGATTTCGTTGTCCAATCAGGGTTGAGTGTATTTTGAGTTGTTCAATGACTTCCGCTTTTTGCACAGCAAACCCTGCACGCGGATATATTTTGGCCGAATTTTGTTATTCACTCACGGATTTCAGAGCGAATTTAAGTTCCTTGATTAAAGCATCGTTGTTTTGAGAGTTATACGGTATCATTCTTGCAGGGGATATCGATTAATCGTGAAAGAAATGCATTAAAAGCGAAAAATCGAGGATAGTTTCGTATGACATATGCCAAGTCCGGGCTATTTTGGTCTCAATGTCTCCGTCCTTCCCTCGTTATAAGGAAGGCACAGGCGGGCGCGGGCAAATCGAGCCTGGACCTCCTGTGATCAAACGTGCATTAGAGTTATAGCAGTTCCCCGGTCTGCTGGACTCATATGAACAGGCCCTTAAATTGAAAATGCTTACCCTGCATATAGCATTGTTGAAAATAACTTTTGGTCAAGGTTATTTCCGTAACGCAGGACGACGGAAAGTAATTGTCGGTAAAAGACGTAAAATTTGAAACATTTTTGCTTTTCCTAATGATTGGTTTCATTGCCAAAATAATGTCGATTTCTCCTTCTTCCACCCATTTCACATTAACCCATCTGGATTGTTTCAATTGGCATGCTCCACTACGACGTTATGAACCGGAATAATAAATTTCATTGGGTGTGAAACAACAGTGGAAGACTATTCCCTTTCACCAAAACCTAATCCGTAAACCTCACTTGCCAGTTGCAAAGCAGTAGTGTAATGAGTGTCTGGCTCGGGCGAATTTGACAACCAATCTGCGTAATTAACATGCATTATAAATGCAAAAAAAGTTTAATAAACAACAATAATTTATCTTAATAGATTTCAATTGAAAAGAAGGATGATGTTTTAATCCAAATACCTAATTTATACGTTCGGTAATCAAAGAAAAACCAGCACTCGATTAAGCTGCACCAGCATTATATAAGAATGGGGAATAATAAATCAAAGAAATATCAGCTAGATGAGCACCTAAACGACGGAATCTCTTATAGAGAAAGCAAACAGTTTAAACTTGCAATTGTAAATTTTAAACGAGCCTTAACACTAGCCGAGGAACTGAAAGACAGAGAGAAAGAATCCAAGGGAAACATTGAGTTAGGCACAGCCTATAAAGGGGACAATCAGTTTCAAAAGGCAGTGGAACACTATGAAAAAGCCTTGGAAATTGCAAAAGAACGAAAAGATCAAGCTCAGGAGACAGACGCATACTCACGGTTAGGAGCTGCTTATGGATCGAATAAGCAGTTTCAAACTGCAATAAAATGCTATGAGCAAGCGTTGGAATGTGCAAAAGAACGAAAAGATCAAGCTCAGGAGACAGCGGCATACATTAACTTAGGACAAATTTATAGCTACAACAATCAATTTCGAACGGGAAATAAATACTTTGAGCAAGCTTTGGAAATTGTAAAAGAACGAAAAGATCAAGATCAGGAGATAAGGGCATACCTTGGGTTAGGATATGCTGATAGCCACAACAATCAGTTCCAAACGGCAATTAAATACTATGAGCAAGCCTGGGAAATTGCAAAAGAACGAAAGGATCAAGATCACGAGACAAATGCATACCTTGGGTTAGGAGATACTTATAGATTCAACAAACAGTTTCAAACGGCGATTAAATACTACGTGCAAGCCATGGAAATTGCAAAAGAACGAAAAGATCAAGATCAGGAGAGAACGGCATACTTTGGGTTAGGAGAAGCTTATTCATCGAACAATCAGTTTCAGACGGCAATTAAATACTATGAGCAAGCCTTGGAAATTGCAAAAGAACGAAAAGATCAGGATCAGGAGAGAACGGCATACTTTGAGTTAGGAGAATCTTATAGATTGAACAATCAGTTTCAAACGGCAATTAAATACTATGAGCAAGCCTTG